TTTCTTCATTATCTCGTATCAAGTAGATAATTTTTAAATACCACTAGGCCAGTCTGTGGATATCTGCTCCATCCTATTTCAAACTTATCAACAGTGTGCATTAATTACAACGCTCATTTTTAACCTCATTTTGATGGACCATCGCTCAATGCCATCAATGGACATTGACTTGGTTGAATTCACAATTTACTTACAAATATTCTAAAACAACTTACTAGTGATATAAGTATGTTGAAGGGGACTACTACCGGTATGCGCGATTTCGGAGGGAAACAAAAGTACAAGTTATTCAAATGTAATATGGCTAGCTGTTAGCAAATTATTCTGTTTGTTAGTGTGTTGCTGTAGGATTTCTGTACTCTGGTGTGTTAGTCACTAATGCAATTTTTGTAGCATATTTTGTGTTCGCTTACTTTTTTACGTGCAGAGCTGTCCATGTCTTTCCTTATTTGCTTACCTTAATCACTACAGTCTCTTTTAGTTATTGAGGTTTACTGTTATTTTATGAATGCTGTCATTATTGCCACGCCTTTAACAGTCTATTTGATCTGTTGCTAAGCAGCGTTTTTTGCTGGTGTACTAGCTGTTTAATAAAATGGCAAATTATGTATGAGTATGTTATATTATACCACAGTTGAAATTTTTCTTAAAGTGACCATATATTCTAGTTAATTATTGTGAAGATAAAGTATCTTTATTTTTGTATAATTTTCACTGGAGAATAGTTTAAACAGTCTTCTTTCTTACAGAATGAATCATAAGATTCTGTTGTTTCTAGTGTAGATGATTTTTCCAACCAATAAAAAGTAATGACGGTCACGTAAATAAGCGTCAGTAAATTGGACTGAGTCTGTATACACTGATCTTTGAAATTATCGTTTTTCTATAAACGGATGAAACACCATCACGTTCTTGATATTAAACTGAGAATATAATCAATTAAACCTATGACTTTAAATTTAACTGTATAAATCACTTAATCAGGTATGTTGGCTAAACTAAATGCTACTAAGCCGTTCAACTTTCTTACAATGAGACAGGCTGGATTAGAATTCAAATGAATCCCATTTTTATTTCATTAATATGGAAAAATTTGAAACATACATACCCACCAACTACCATAGTTAGCAAACATCGTGTTGTTAGAGTAAGAGATAATAGCCCATTGTGCCTAAGTTCCAGTTCAAATATGTTTCCTCATATCTGAACGGCTTGATAAATAACCTCACCTTTTTTTTGTAACCGTATTTTAATAAGTTTTTTTTAAAACCTTAACAATACGTAAGTATCGAATATCATAGAAGAAACATTCTCTGTAGGATAATAAAAGTAACGGCTTGTAAGTTAATTTGATGAACATCTAAAAACCGAAATTCCAGAAACAATTCGTCTATTCTTAAAACTGTACTACTGAAAATTTTCAGCTAAAAAGGAATCAGAAAATTGAACCTATGAACTTCAACTTAACTTTTATATTCCCGACTACGCTTGATAAACTGAATAGTAAAAACTCCAGTTGGTGATTTTATTTTATATGATCCGAGTAGTCTCTCAGCAAATAAACTCATCGATTTACATTATGGTGACGGTTGTTCTGATAGACGATAATTTATTCCACTTCACTCAATAATTACCTTTTATTTAAACACAAATATTGGTACAAAAGGGCATCAAATATATATGCTCCAGCACCACATCATTCGATGTGTCTGAGGGCTCGGATACTACCCGAACACCCAAACCGAATCAGATGGTTTTCATGGAAGGCCGCCCCCCGTCTTTGACCTAGAGGTCTAATCTACAAGTGAGTGGAGCAACACTAGGAGATACAGTCTCATGGTAGCCGGTGACCAACAACAGGTTCCTACGCTATTTGTTCCGTTAGAATTCTGGAGCCCGTGTACACCATTGGTTTGTAATCAGTTTCCCTAATCCCTTAAGTGTTGTCCCCTTCCTATTCACCAAACCGGTTAAAGCGCCGGACATTTGTTTTTCGTCCTCCTAATTTCGTAGGCAACAGACCCTCGCCGTGAGAAGGCAGTGAGTAGAGCTTCCCTGACAGTGGTTGTATATGCGTGATCATGTGAGAGCATTTGGAGAGGGAGAGCGGACTTTCCACTCTCAGCCGTACTAGTGCATTTTAGGACACAATAATCACATGTAATTTTAAGGTTAATATTAATATTCGATTGCTCAAACGACGTATCAATAGCCAACTGGTCGAATGTCAGTTTCCAAAACTAAAATTCTGTGTAAATTTGATTGTGAATGTTGCAACAAAATATAATTAGACTGACTGACAAAAATGAACAAAATAGACCCTATCACAAATATGTATCGATACAAGTTCCAATACTTAAAATCAGTTTGGTCCAGAAAAAAATCAGTAAGAAGAAAAACAATCGTCTGAAGTAATGACAATAGCAGTAGTCGGAAACAATGAGAGAAAAGAATAAAAAGTATGAGATTATACCATGTTAAAAATTGGAAAGAAGACAACAACACAGATGCATCCGAGCTCTTACCACTGGTTTTAGCCCTCCTCATACTTCGTGCATATCTTATGAACTTCAGTCAAGAAATTAACTCTCCTCTATAAGACTAAAGCCAATAGTCAGTGATTTCTTTAAATGTTTGCAAGTGTTACTTTGAACATCCATAATCTTATTTTGTGTTAATCATGATAAGACACCAGTATGGATGGTGCCTGGAAATCCACAAAATCTCTACCACCTGCCCCAGTGGATATATATATATAGTTAGCTGTCATTCAGTGTAATCGTCTTCTCATAGCAAGCTGGGATTATACCGGAGTCTCCCAGTGAATACATTCAGAAAGCTGAGCTCATACTTTTTGTATCGTTGCTGAGACTTTCTCATACATAAACCTACCAAAGGTGATGAAAATCCCAAGACGAAGGAATTAGGTAATGAGCTTATTGTCAAATATATGTTAGCTTATATCAGCTCTAGAATAGTATTTTTCGTTTGTAAATTCAAAAACTCATTTTAAGCTCTCTTGTATTATTAATTAACGTGTTCTTAAGGTTATGTTTCATAGTTGTTTTCACGAAACAGAATGATTTTATCTGTATATTCCTTGCCGATAACGGACGTTTAAGATAAGACAAATTCATGAAACTTTAGACAAAGAATTTTTGATGTCCAGTGGTTTGTCCATGACAAAATAAATAAAAAGACAACGATAGGTAAACAACTCTGGCGTAGATCACTTAACGTAGTCAGTGATGATAGCTGTTTATCGGATCTGATCCGAAAGTGTTTAAATGAAGTTACCGGAAGGAGATAGATTATTATATGCTCACATACCCTTAATCAAGAATGAGTAGATTTAAAGCGATTGATAAAATCAAATGTTTAAGATGCATACGTTCATATATTCCGTTTGAAAATACAGAAGAGGATCACTAATGTTATTTACCCGTCCATCTCATTCATTTCTCGGCTAAATGTAATATATTTGAGTACAAAGCTTATTCTTCTCTGTGGTAACTTATATGATTTATACTGTGAATACTTCAAACTAAATGAAAGACTATGTTAGTGATCTGTAGATTTCAGTTTTCTTTGTGACGTTAAGCTGGGCTGATTTGTTAGAATAAATAAAATTAATAACTACTGTGTTACGATAACATTTTAAATAATTGTGAGAAGTCATCGAGGAAGCTAGTTCAATGCCATACAAAGGAACAAAACAATTATTTTATTAATCCAAAAGTGTGTCCTTGACTTTACAGGTGGGATTCATTGGCAAGTTACATCCATAAGTATGATTAAACTTGAGTTGTGACTAAATATCTTTAAAACTAGATTATGAGCTCGAATTGGTTTATTTTTGTTAAATAATTCATCTATCAAGCGTCGTATTCTATGTAAATCTTTTAGAGGCTACACAGATCAGTAAATAACTTCGATTATCATTTGACAATCATGCCAATTAATTAGTTCGTCAGTTAACTCTTCTATAAGTTGAGATTATTTCTATCTATTCTCACACTTGAACTCTTGAAATACGTTTCTGAATCACTTAATAGTGAAAAGAAAACCTCTGTTGAACAACGGCGATTTAAACGTCTCACATAAATTCATACATGCATTACGCCAGTATGCATGAAACCTACATGAAATCCAAGTCCGCATTTAACATATGAAACATGCTATAATTATAACTTTCTATATGCGTACTGATTTATTTACTGAAATATGAGCTATCCATCGTGCAATGGTTACCTCGTTCCTTGAACCTGATTGTATGGAGGAGACCTTGAATTGATCGATTTGAATAATATTCAGCTGTACCAGCGAATCTTGAAGTATGGTGGGTCCCAAAAATTTAAGAAGTTAATCATTTGATCACAGATAATGACTTTAAACTTTCTCTTTCCTTTCCTAACCTGCGATTAAAGTGTCCGGATAGTTTATAAATAAAATAATGTGTTTGGAAAAGAACTTGTGGGTTAAGTAGGATTTCTTCCTTATAAATTTAATTAAACCCAGTTTTTTTACTCATAAACCAATTGTGAGAATGGTATCAATTTGTAAGTAAAATGCATACTTGTCATATGACAATAACATAGTAGGCGCCAGTTCACAATTGTCACTGACCTATTAAATATATAGCACAAGAAAAAATGAAGCACTTAGAAATAAATAAAAATAAATAAACAACACCGTACTAGTAAAGTTTCTGAAATTTCATGATTTATTCTAGGTCGAAAAACTTCTACACATTCAGATATTACAAATGACAATAACAACAATACTATTATTATTACCATTACTATCATTTTTATTATCATAACAATTTATTTATTGTATTTAGTTTATTTCAAAATAGAGATTTTAATTTTTAGTTTAAATTCCCTCTAAGTTAATTTATCATTTGTCTGAAAGTGGGAAATTGTCATAATCTTCTTAGTTATCTATTAATTTATTCATTAACTTATTAGTTATTATTATTTTCTATACCTGCTTATTAGTGGTCATCTGGTGTTTCAATCCCAACTACTACCACCACTACTACCACTAGCACAACAGTTCAAATGTCTAATTCATTTCGATTCTCCCCTATTCCATTTACTTCTGTTTCAACCGGATCTACCATTTCTACATGCAATTCTGTTAATGAATTAATTCATCATCCTACGTCTACATCTAATTCCGAGTTTACTACACCTATTTTATCGAGTTTAGGATCAACAAGTTTAACAGTCTATCCAGTTCATGTTTCTGCGAATGGTTCAACTGTACTAGTTGCTTCATCACCTACTTCTCAAGATATTTCTAAATCGTACATTACAACTAACTCATCAGTATCATCGTCATCAGTCTGTTCTACATCATTTGGAAATTATTTAAATTCTTCTGTAGAAGCATCCAATTTATCTCCACTATCTATTACATGTAGTTCTAATTTATCTTCAAACTCAATTACTAGTCCTACGCCTATACTTACATCTACACCTCGTGGTAAGCCTAAATTTAAAGCATTATGGGAGTCTACTCTTTCCAATAATGAACGCATTAATCAATCTATTGTTAATGAATCTTTAACAAACCTTGAACATACAATTCATTCTGTCAATGAATGTACAACCACAAATTCTACCTTACCAATCAATTCAATCTCAAGAACAAATCGTACAAATAAACGTCAATCTCCTATGCTTGGAATTAAATCTATTGGTCAAACACCTAAACGTCTTGCTGCAACAGCTGCAACACTTTCACAAGAAAATAAATCAATTTCTTCAGATGGATGTAAAAAGTTTCTTCTTATTTGTTCTCCATCTAAAAATATTCCAGTAAAATCACAAATCGAACCAGATTCTGGTATATGTTTGTCGTCTAGTGGTGGTAATCTTTCAGAGTCTGTTTTATCGAAAAATACATCTTCATGCACAGAATTAGATATAACAGAATCTTGTAATTCTACTACTCGTCAATTGATTACTAATATATCAGATGATCGTGTAAAAATACCTAAAAATACAGAACGTAATAATAATATTTCACTGAAACAATCCAGTTTATTACACTCTACAGGATCTAACGTTTCGTCTGGTCGCGACTCTTCAGACATAATCGAATCTGACCCTATTGTTTCTGAAGTGTTTATGGGGAAAACATTCGAAAATGGAAGACGAAGTTTAAAGGAAGAACCAGTAAGTGTCTTGATTTTTTTGACTTATTGTAATAAGTTGAGAATCAAACTTTTTTATATGAAGTATTTACATGTGATAATGATGTTAACAAGTATATTAACTCATGTGTTTGGCATGGCCAACTATTAACCGTTAAGATCTCAGTGCACACCATTTATACCTGCCTTATGATCAACTATTTTGGTTATCAACAAATATTAAATCCAGCTATGAAGAAGTAATACTTATTCATTTATTTACTCATGGTTAGAATTACACTTTGTGTTCTTTAGTTTAAACACCCAAAACAGTGTCATTTGGCTTCTTCTAATGCTCAAACATGCATCTTATTAAATATATTTTAACTGTTGTAAAATTAAGCGAATCTCTGTTATCAAGAATTACTAGCTTTGACATTAAGTATTCTAACTAGTTTTATTCTATATAGACAGGTTTAATTGTAGACATCTTTCGTTCACGTAATAAATAAATAAACATCTGTTATGATTATATATATGAGTTCTCAGAGCATAAATAATACCATTTTATCTTTTCTTTCATATAAAATGAACGAATTAATAAATGTGGGATTCTTGCAATACATCTTTTTTTAGTCAACATGCATTTCAATGACTCAGTGCAAACATTTTTACATTGAATAATTTCTTTGACAAATACCAATTCGATCGTGTTTTTGTAATTTTCAATTAAGAATGTTACTTTTTTAAGTGTGAAAATAATTCAGTAGTCTTTCATTGCTCTAATCTAAAATATTGTAATATAAAATATCACAGAAAAGAGAGAGGAAATAAATACATCTCTACTAGCCATAATGCTTAGCAATAATCAAACTGGGCAATTACTGCAATCATAAGGAAACTCACTAGAGCAAAATACCTACATTATCCAGTGCAACCTGGATCAGTGATTAGTCGGTTCATGTTCATTTTCAGTACATGTAGCATACCTTTCAGAGATTTCAAGCAATAATGGTTTACAATCTCATTGATTGATCCGCCCTTTTCAACTTAAAAAGTGATTCATTTTGTTTCTATAGTAAAACAGTTTGTTATGTGTTTTCCAATAATCTCAACAAGAAATAGTTGTATTTTATTCAACGGGTCAGTTTTTTTATTAATTCAAATTGCATATTTTGGTTCCGTACATCTTTTATGTTTGAGAACCTAGAAAAGATATTCAAGTTAGTTACAGTTGCCACTCGTCTTAGAAATATTCGAAATGTAGAATTGGGAATTACCTAAAGGGAAGCAATAGAGGATCGAAATAATAAAAGTGGGCTTATCTTTATTAAACATCCTCTTATTGCTTTCTAGTTATCAACTGGAGTGATGGCTCATTGGTTTAAGCATTTTACTTTCGGTCGATTATTCTAGTTCGGAAATTTAACTGTCTTCTATAATTTTTCCCCAGATAATCATAGAATTATTCACCCCAATTATATTGATATCAATAATAATTTGCTAAATTTAAAATTACTATGATGAAAGTGAACCATACTATTTAGTTATCATAACTTAATTAATGGTAGTGGAGTGTTCATACATGCATATTACTTATGTTCGGTGTTCAACTGAAACTTTTCGAATGTTCTCACACGATATCTTTCAAAGCTTTCTCAATCAACATTAGCTGTAGAGATTTAGTTCACCCATGTCGTGTTCTCTAGACTGTTAGAGTAAAACAATGAAATTTTGTCAATATCTATAACTTCATTCTTGAAGGTTACTTTCACTGTCTATCGACCTTGATGTTAAGTTTATCAAATTCCTATCTTACATGTCTGGTCAGTTTTAACTTTTTGAAATTCTCGGTCAAGGTTTTTCTATTTCTTAATGTAATCTGTAGTTTAAGAGGACTTAACTAATTCAGTTGCTAAAACAGTATAGTTTCGTTTATATTTTTCACCTCGGATAGACAGTTTGTATTACTCTTCACCATATCATATCTATTTGTGTTTGCCTTCATTATGAAACATGATTTTCCCACAGACTGTGTACTATGCAATCAACTATTATAATTATAATTATTATTATTGTTTTATTGAAATCGTGAACCGATAAATGTTAAACTACCATTGAAAATCTGGACACCTGTTTCGTTTTAGCATGGGACTCTCTAGTAGAGGCCATCTGCGATCGCAAATGTGGGTACGAAACCCAAAACCTTCGGTCTCTCACCCGAACGCTTAGCCCCTATATTACAGGATCGGCATCCAACGGTGTCAATGTCTGATTTCAACCAACCCATGTTATTGCTTGACCGTCTTCCGTACCCACGTTGTTATTGTTATTATGTATGCATTCTTACTTACTTACTTACTCCTGTTACTCCCAATGGAGCATAGGCCGCCGACCAGCATTCTCTAACCCACTCTGTCCTGGGCCTTCTTTTCTAGTTCCATCCAATTCTTGTTCATTTTTCTCATGTCTATTTCCATTTCCCGGCGTAATGTGTTCTTTGGTCTTTCTCTTTTCCTTTGGCCTTGAGGATTCCATGTGAGGGCTTGTCTTGTGACACAGTTGGGTGCTTTCCTGAATGTGTCCTATCCACTTCCAGCGCTTCTTCCTGATTTCTTCCTCCACTGGGATCTGGTTTGTTCTTTCCCACCGTTCGTTGTTGCTAATAGTGTCCGGCCAATGGATCTGAAGTATTTTGCGTAGACAACTGATGTATGCATTCACTATATATTAATTCTATGAGTTCATCTATCTAGTTAGTCAACAAACAAGAAAAATATTTTGACAAGGAATAATTTCATTTGTAATATAATTTGTTCCAAAGGATCTCTCAATTCTTTCTCTTAACTCCTTTTCTCTTGCATGATTATTTTTTCACGGTTTTGAATTTTATATTTCATTTTTCCTTCTGTATTTCTTCACCCATCATCACTGTCACATTAAATTAAATCAATGAAAATGAATCGTTTAAGTAATCAATTAGTTTTCGTTCACCAGTTAATCAATTTGATAATGATTAAACCTTTCTATGATTGCATTTTAATGAGTAATCTGTTTTATACAAGTAATCAATTATTCTAATATTTTTATAATTCTAATAATGACGTTTAAAGTGAATTATGATTGTTACAAGTTAGATTCAAGTGTAGAAATTCACTTTAGATATTGAATATTATCTTTGATTGTATCCAATATGTGTTATTCTTAAATTTTATGTCTAGAAGTAAGTTGTCAGACGATATCTTATATATACTATATGGTAGATATTACATCCATAACTTGATAGTCTAGACGCATAACTTCCAAACTCGAGTTGTCCTTTATTTATCGAGGTTTTAGTCTTTGAATAATACTATTAATCATCAGCGTTACTGCACACAGTTGTTATAGATCATAGTTTAGCATAGGAATCTATGTGTGATTAGTACGTTGCGTATGATATTCAGGTTCTTAAATGTTTTAATTACAACCTGTTTGGTGTTATTTTCACTTATGTTCGGCTTTTTCATCTATTTATTACACTTAGCTAACCTACGGTTAGTTGATTGAACGTGGATCCGTACAGTAGTGTTCATGTATCCACACATATACACAGTGTTTTACGTACATTAACTTCTGATGTTCAGAGCTTACAGTCCGTTTAGATTTTTTGTCTCCAAGGTTTTTTACCTTGTGATCAACTAGCAGGCAGGTTCGGTTAGTATATTTGAAGGTTTTCTGAGTCATCTGTATTTGAAAAACTCACTCTTATTGATTTGAAAAAAATTGTTTCGTTCGCATTTATCAAGTGACTGTTGTCGATTAACAACTGGTTTTACTGATTTTTTAGTTGCTTAACTTCTAAGTTCCATCTATGTGAATCCATTGGGTCCGTATTGTCAATTATCTGTGTGCTGTTAGCTTAGCGATAAAGTAGCAGGTACATTTTAGGACAGGTAGTTCCTTCTTGTTATTGTATGTGGATAATACACACTACGAGATGTAAACTGATGAATCGTTTTATCAAACACTCTACAAATATCATACCTCTAACTGATAGACCTAGTAAAATAGGATTGCTTTCTTGATTTAGGGGATTTGAAATAGTGTCCAAACTATCTTGCATTTCATTAGTCAAACTATGCTTTATTTGTTAATAGAAGTAAGCAAAAAGCTGAGGTATATTCAAAACTAATTGTTGACTCATTTCATGTGCATATTGGAAGTCATATAGTGACCAGCAAGTGCTTTCGAGGCCTCAATAGGGCGCGGTAACAACAAACCGGAGGAAAATAAGCTGGGTTTTATACTTAGTTGTTGATCTATTGGCTAGATTTTTTCCCTCCACTAATATTTTAGAGCATAGACACACATATCGTCTCCTGACTTCGACTGTATGCCTCAATCTGAATGCAACATTCTGCTCTGCTAATCTGGAGGTTTTGTCATAAAACTTGTCTTTGAAAGCTATATCATAAAATTACATAAACCTTATTAAGTGTCCGTACTCGGACCCCAGTGGTCGTGTTAGAGCTTACGGTAAACTGCCATTAGGATTGGGATCTTTCAGCAGCGTTCGTCAAAACTATTCACTCTCCCCACTTTTATCTAAATATGTCATAGTTTTTCTCTAAGAGATAATGGCTTCATTTGACTTCAGGGATTGGTCACATTCCACGAGACTCATTTATTGACCGAGAATACGTAGATGGAAGAGTCCTGTTTAGACATTGGCAAATCCAGTCTCCTAAACTTCTTGATTAACAATCTAACTGTGTTTGGAAATGTGATCCTCATTCTCAATCCGAAATGTTGCTTCAAGACTGGTCTTTATCACCACGTCAATTAATCATAGGGAGCGAAGTTGTTCACGGCCTTGACTATTTCGATCTTCTTGAAGTCTCAATAGCTCCGGTGAGTTAATGTCTGACCAAATCTCATCACAGATTCAAATTGCTTGCTTAGCTTTCACCAACTCACGTCATTTTTGGCTTAGGGAAGTGTGTACATCTGCCAAACATAAGACAATTTTACTGTTCAACTGTCCATTCATTGAAATATGGC